AGGCACATAGTAGGCCCTCGGGGAATGCTTACGGAGCGAATAAAGGTCCAGGCTTGGAACTGTGTGCGCGTGCAGTGATGGGAAGCCCTTCCTTGGAACCCAGAGAGGCTCAGAGCAGTGATGGAAGCTCAAAAGGAGCCAAACCAGGACGCAGCCCAGCCCATGGTGTCTGGCGGCGGCACCCTTCTTCATACACCAAGTTGCTGCAGCAAGCATTGTCATGTGTGAGGTGCAGCATGGACTGGAGACCCTGCCTGCCCACAGCAGCGTCCAGTCTAGCTGGGGACAGGCCAGTGAGCTACTCCGAGGGTGACGAGGGCAGGGCTTGGACTTACCACTCTCCTGCAGTTAGAGGGCCGCTCCCAGGCGTTCCACACCCACTCAGCCAGTGAAGGAGCGGACACATGTCTTGGAGTTGATAGTGGTGATCAGAGTGGAGAGAGAGTGTAGCAGGGGGAGGGGAGGACCCTCAGGTCAGGTGTGAGCAGTGGGCAAACTGCGGAAGAGTCAGCAAAGGAGAGGGAAGGCGGGATTAGAGCGCCGAGAAAAGGGGCCAAGCGATGGGAGAGTTTCAAGGACGGCACTGAAACCCATGTGCGGGTGGCTCTACTGAAAGAAGAGGAGAGGCAGCCCATGGGGTTGGCAGTTAGGAGTCCACTGGGGGTCTCTGAAGGGGGTCTCCATGGCAGAGTGAGGCTAGAACTACCACCATCTTCAGCAGCCAAGCCCTTCCACTCTTGTTCTACCCCCTCCCCACGCCCATCGCATCCTCATGAGGTCGGTCTTTGACCCATTTTGCAGATGAGGAAGCAGAGGTCTGAAGACGTTCCGTCCCAGAGCCACTGTGAGGTGGAGCTGGCCGGGGTGGTGGTCCTGGTGGCGGCTGTCGTGGACTGTGGAGCTTGAACTCTGGAGACTGGCGGGTGGAGCAGGGAGTGTAGCGTGAAGGCCCGCCCTGCCGAGGTCCCTCACGTATCCTGCGCACAGCTCGTTGCCAGGGCTCTAGCCCCAGCCGGCTGCCATCGGTGCCTTCTAAGAACCGGCACTTATCACCATCCCCAAGGTCCAAGTCCACAGGCAGCACGTCAGCAGTCTTGCTCCCTTCAAGGACTCCCAGGCAGGGTCCTTCCAGGTCTGGCCCAACCTCTGGTGGCCTCAGGCGCAGTTGGCTGTGGATGCTTCTTCTTGTGGCTCCCTTCCCTCTGACCGTGTGTCTCCTCTCCCAGAGGAATCAGGACCCCCTCCATTCCCAAACCCTCTCACGTGGGAGACCCCATCCCTCAGTGATCACACTGGCCGATGATGACATCCTGAGACTCCATTTCCACACAGGGTCCTAGTCACAGGTGTGCAGGTCAGGACACCAGCATGCCTCTTCGGGACACAGTTCAATCCGTAACCCGCACACTCACACACGTGTGTCGGATAGATAAGGAAGTGAAGTTTTCCCGTTGACCTAGGAGCTCTGGTGGTGGCATGGGACGGGTGCTTTGGCTGCAAGGCAAACCATTCAAACCCACTGGCCGCTCCTGGTCCAAAGACCAAAGGCTCCGGTAAGGAAGCCTTGTGGGGCAGCACTGCTGTGGTCTGCCTGGTTGCTAGAATCCCCTCGTTCGCCAGGGATCCAGGAGTCTGGTCCCATGAACAGACTTGTAGATTTCTTGTGCGCTTGAATGGTTTCACGTATTGGGCTGCCAACCTGCCAGGTCAGCAGTGTGAATCCACCAGCTGCTCCTTGGGAGACAGACGGGGCTTTCTGCTCTCATAAAGAGTGGCCATCTCAGAAACCCATGGGGGCAGTTCTGCCCTGTCCTACAGGGTCACTCTGAGTTGGAATTGACTCAATGGGCAGTGAGTTTTTGGAGAGAGGGCAGTTTTGTCCACCCTCGCCCCTCCCCCCACCCCACCCACTGTGCTTGGGTCAGCTCTGGCTCTAGGGAATCCTGGAGGTCACACTGAGCTGCCCTACACCCTAGACACTCTCCAAGCCTGTCTGTCCCCTTCCTAGAGGCAGGGTGCCACATCTCTCTGCCACAGAGCTGCCGCTGGGCTCCAAGCATGGTATTAGCAGGACACGGACGTGGGCCCACGATGCTTTCATGGAGTCTGGCTGTGTTGTGTTCTAGGGAGCCTAGCCCTGGCGCTGAGAACTTGACCTTCCTCCTGCCCTGCCCTGCCCTGCCCTGCCCTGTGGGAAGCAAAGGGCTAAGCAACTTCAGAGGGAGTTGGGAGGGAGGCGGTGGCGGGCATGAGCTTGCAGTCAGCATGGGTGGCTCCGACTATGTGGCGCGCACGAGTGAGCAGGGTTTTAGCCCAGGCTCAGCTGATTCTCGTGTGGCCCACCAAGTCTCTGGCTGCCAGCGTCTGTGAACACACGGTGACCCCAGGATGTTTCAAAAACACGCCTGTCCGCAGTCTGGTTGGCTGGGGCACTGTCAGACTAACAGCAGCCAGCCACCCGGAGAACCTGGTCCCCTCCCTCACCACCCCCACCCCGGGGCATTTAGATGGCCTCTGCCCATGGATCGATCTACAAAGCTCCCGGGTTCTAGAAGAGTACTGAGCCCTCAGTGTCCTTGGGTGGGGGCTGTGTGTGGGGGTTGGGGTGGTGTGTAACTTGCTACTTGTGGGGGGGGGGCTTGTGTTAGACTGGAGGTAAGTTGGGTTGGTTGGGAGGGTTCCCCCACCAGGGGATGGTGCTGGTTCGGGAGCCCAAGGGTCAGAGGTGAAGAGGACACAGGGTGGAGCAGCCAGTGCGGAGGGCAGACCTCAGACAAGGAGCGCCTCCTGGGGCACAGTGAGCTGGAGCTGTGGAGAGGGGGTTGTGCGTCAGGAGAGGGTCGGGCAGGGTGGGCAGGGGGCGCTGCATGGACAAGAGGCTCCCCACTTAGCTAGACAGAGGACCTGCATCTACAGGAAGTGAGTGACTCAGGGCCATGCCAGCCCACTCATGGTGGGTCCTCTGGTCCCTATGCGGCTCATGGGGATGGAGGGGTTGCCGTGGAAACCACCTCCGGGGTGCTCTGCCGCTCACGAGCCGTGGCATTTGTGAGAGGGGGCATCCTTGCCCACAGTTGCACCTGGAGGTTTAGTGGGACACTTTTGGGGCCGGTTCCCCCCTTTCCTCTGATGACTCTTAGCTAGCAGTGCTCCTGAAACTGGGAACTCCCAGGATGTGCCTTCCATGGGACAGGCTGCCTCCCCTTCTCTGAGTCTGCCCATGCTTAATTCGAAACTGTTCAGCTGTAAGTGTGAACCTACTAGATGACCCGAGCCACCAGCAGCTACCCCCCCAGGTGCTGCACAGTCTCCCCTGTGGGGGGCGGGGTATCACTTACTTTCAAGGCAGCGCCACTGGGGCGCAGGTGTTTGCTCAGTGACTCTGTGTCCTTGGGGAGGAAACTGGCGCCTGAGCCAGACTGTTGAATCCGCAGCTGCTGCGCCCGTCCCAACCTGGTCCTCCCTGATCCCTTCCCCCACACACCTTTTCTTTATTGCCCGTGTCCAGCTGGCCACTCAGCCCTGTTGCTGTGACCTGTGCCATGTCTCTTGGGGTCATCCTTGCTTCTCTGCCTCACTTCCTGTCACTGAGCCCAGGCCCAGTGCCCATGATGGGCGCCTACCACACTCTCATGTGAGGGGTGGGGGGAGCTGGGCAGGTGCCCAGGAAACGTCTAAACCCTTGACCTTCACCTGATTCTGCCATTCAGGTGTTCCCTTGGGTGCAGGCCCCTATCTGCCCAGTGATGACTTGGATGTTGAAGGAAACCCTCCCCCCGTGTCACTTTGCAGACCCCACTAGCTAATAAGACAGTCACGAGTTTTATAAACGGAAAGTGCTGGGCCCAGGCACGTGACCCTGTCATCTCTTTAAGAAAGACGTGTGGAGGAGCTGCCTGGCCTGGGCCTGCAGGGTTCCAGGATCTGCCTACTGAGGCTGCACTGTCATGGGGCCATCTGCTCACTGGGGCTGGAGTGTCGGGGCTCTGCCTGCCAGGGCGGGAAGTCCCTGGGGTCTCCCTGTGGGGGTTCAGTGCTGGGGGTCTGCTCACTAGAGTTGGAGTGTCTAGGGGTCTGCCTGTTGGGGCTGGAGTGTCTGGGGATCTACCTGCCCAGAGCTGTGTGTGTCTTGGCTCTCCGGGCACCTGGCCATGACCTGCTTGGGGGCGGGGCTGGCTGTCCAGGTGTGCTGAGGATCACCTGCAGGAAGGGGCCCTGGCCATCCCTGGGCCTGCTGCTGCTCTGGACTCCGTCAGCTCTCAGCCTTGCGTCCGGGTGTCAAGCTATACCCCCTGGGCGCAGTGTGGAGGCTCCCGGAGAGAAGCTGGGGAGAAAGGCAGCTTGATTTGCTTTCTAAGCGCCATGCGAGGGCCATGAGCTGGCAGCATCTGGGTGCTTCTCAGGCACGCAGTTCTCCCAGCCCCACCCCTGACTCCTGCCTGAGTCAGAAACTGCTCAGCGAGACCCCCAGGCTTCCGACCCACCCCACACCCGGAGCTCTCTGCCCTAGACCAGCCTGTTTCACCTCCTGCTCCGGGTATCTCAGCTCATTCTCAGCGAGCCTCTGCAGTGGTTCCGACAGGGGTGGTGTCCCATGCCCAAGCCAGGGCCCCTTTCCTTTGCTTCCTCGCCAGCCCTGCTGCAGGCCCCCAGCTTAGTTCCTGCTCCCTGTGGTGGGTGTCTCTAGCTTTCCTGTCCCAAGCGGGGTCTCAGATCTTGGGGGTAAGCTGAGAAGAGGGGCTCCTGTTCCTGGAACAAGAGCCCCGCGAGGGGACAGCCACAGCCCAGCCTCCAGCCGACCCTGCCACCTCAGGGGGGTCACTGCGCCTCTCTGAGATGCCCAGGCCCGCAGTGCCCAGGTGGATGTCTGGGCAGCAGGCCTGTTGGCTGGGGCGGGGCTGGGGCGGGGCCAGGCACGCAGGTGGCTGCAGCCCCTTCCTGGGGGACAGGCGTGCGCTCACCCAGCTTTGCTCCTCCCGTGGTTTTGCCCCTGGCCACAGATGACGTCCGGCTCTTCGCCTTCGTGCGCTTCACCACCGGGGATGCCATGAGCAAGAGGTCCAAGTTCGCCCTCATCACGTGGATCGGCGAGAATGTCAGCGGGCTGCAGCGGGCCAAGACGGGCACGGACAAGACCCTGGTGAAGGAGGTGGTGCAGGTACTGGGGCCCGGCGACCGGTGTGGGGCGGCGCAACCTCTCTGGGCCCACCAGTGATGGCTCCAGCTGTGGGGGGAGGGTTATGAACAGAACAAGGGGCTGGTGGGGGAATGAGTCGGGCCGATGCTGGTGGGGCCTCCCTGTGCCAAACACCCCACCGCCCTGTCGGATGTCAGGCACAGCAGCCTGGGTGAGGGACATGGGCACTCCCAAGACTACCTCTCACCCATTCTCTGGGAATCCAAGTGATTCCCCCAAAAGCATTTTATTAAAAATAGTCATAATGGTAATACCAGGCTCGGCCAGTGACACACACGGCTCCTTTTGGAAAACGGTCTCATTCCTCCGCCCCTCGGTTGACTTCCGGGGGTGTATGCGTGTTGGCGGAGCCAGGCATCTTGGTTTTCAGTGCTGGGGACAGGGACAGACAGCAGGATATCTCCTCTTCCTCCTCCTCTTTCCCTGAGAAGTGGGGGAGGGCGCACAGGCACATGCCAGCCAGGTGCAGCCGTGCTGGGTGAGTGGTGTTCTGATGCCTGCCTGGCCCTGCGGCCAGCTGTGCCCAGGCCTGCCCTCCGGGGCCTCATGTTGGGGACCCATGTGGAAACGATACCAGCAAGAGTATCGTGCTTTGTTGCACCCCACGGTGATGCACACGGTTAGTTCATCCAGGGGCACATCGGAAGAAAGGCCTGGAGATTTATTGCCAAAAGAATGAGCCCCTGAAGCCCTCAGGCCATGTAGTCCTATGGACACCTGTGGGGTATGTGGACACTCGTGGGGTGGCCTGAGCCTGCGCTCCCACTCACTGGCATTGAGTCGGAGGCAGTAAGCCAATGACTGTTCACAAGACTGGGTGTCGCCATCATCTGGTGGCCCAGTGGGTTCCACTTTGGGCCGCTAATGGCCAGGGCAGCAGTTCAAAGCCCCCAACCACTCTGCAGGAGAAAGATGAGGCTTTCTACTCCCGTAAAGAGTGACCATCTCGGAAACCCACAGGGGCAGCTTACCCTGGCCTGCAGGGTCCCTGTGAGTTGGAATTGACTGATGGCAGTGGGTTTGGCTTGGAGCTTTGACTTTGACACTCTCTGGCAGGAAGGTGTTTTCAGTTTCCATAATCTTAAGGGCTGGATACTACTAAGCTGAGTGAACACAGCCCAAGCTACATTGGACTGTTAACACCTGTTGCCATCGAATCGATTTTGACTCTGAGCAACCCTCTAGGGCAGAGCAGGGCTGTCCCATAGGCTCCCCAAGGCTAAAACTTCATGGAAGCAGGCGGCCTCATCTTCCTCCCACGGAGCGGAGCGGCGGGTGGGTTCAAACCGCTCACTTTTCGATAATCACTGCGCCACCAGGGCACCCTTTCAAACAATCCGTCGGCAGTGGCTCTTTGTTCAGGATTCCGAGGTTAGGTCTGAATGGCATGGAAATTGCTACCATCGATTGGTGATGTCTGCTGTGGTTGCAGGAGGAGAAAGGAGAGCATGTTTGGCATCTGCATGCCATCCCCGTTTTAGATGAAGCAGTAGTCAGAGATCAGACAAGATGGAGTCCACGTCTGTCCCTGTGATGGTCAGGACAGCAAAGGGCCAGATACCAGGAGGTCATCCAAATGCTAGTGAGGCAGTGGCCCTGTCAGCATGTGGGCACTTCCCCTGTGTGCTCTGGGTTTATCCACAACCTGCCAGCCATGGGCTATTCTACGACCACACTGTGTCCACCACACCTCTCTCTCCCTCAGAGAAGCAAGGTCTACTCACCCCAGCTCCGAGTGCCCCATGACCCATGGCCAATGTCAAATGCCAGTCTGGCCGTTTCTTTTTTTCCCTTTGTCTCGATGACGGGTGTCTGTAATAAGAACTTGTTCTTTCTGAGTAAAATTATACCTTTGCTGGTAGGAGGCTTTCAGCCTTGGTCCTTTAAGCACTTAGAACAATTACAGAAGGGGACACAGAGGGCCCCCGGGGGAGCTGGCAGCCCAATGCCCCGCAGGCTCCAAGGTGGTAGCCTTTCATCTGGCTCCTATTCCTGGAAACACGCCCCCTTTCCCAGCAAGACTGCTTTTCACCAGCACTCCGGGCGGGGTCTTTGCTTTGGAGTTAACCTTCGCCCATGAGGGGAACAGGCTCATTCTTTCTTGCAGCCGGCATGCATCTCGTCCACCCCTGGGCCCTTCCTCTACACACGTTTCCAAATGTTGAGATGGGCCTAGGGCTGCTGTAGCCTTCAGCCTGACCCTTCTGTGCCCAGGTGCCCTAGTGCCCCGGCATTGTAACAGCTGCAGTGGGACTTGATCCCATGTCCTATTGACACTTGTTCGGCTGCACATCTCTGCGTGGTGCTGAGAAAAGGACTGCAGGCCTGTGTACCCTGCCATGTCCCTTCACAGAGGTGGACACCAGGGCCCAGAGTCATTGAATGTCCCCTGCCAGCCTTCCCAGAACCCTCTGCTTCTCTTCTTTTGCCCAAAGACCCTCATAGAGATTCTCTCCAAGAGAGTGGCATTTCTCCGTGACCGTTTGGAGGCCCCCTGGCATGTCCACGTCAGAGGAGTCAGAGGGGAACGTCTGCATGCACGGGGGCTGAGCCACATCTGTGGATGCTCTGAGTGCAGCATGAGCTACTTGGCGTCACATGTAGCTGGAGGGGCCCCTTTCTCCAAGCAGCTCCCTGCTGGGTCTCCGCCTGGAAGCTGCCAGGGGTGCCCGGATGCTCCTGTATATCAGCCAGCAGAACCACAGTGACAATGCCCACACAGGTGTGTCCTGCAGCCTGTCTTACATCCTGTCCAGACCCACTCCGAGGCTAGCCGCGTGGTCACTGAGCCCCCAGATAGTGGCCGGTCCATATCGCTATGGGCTGCGCATGTCAAAGGCAGGCTCGGTCCCAAAGTCTTGGCCTGAAAAGTAAAGGGGTGCAAAAGATTCCTTAATAACTTTCTAGTTTGATTCTGTGTTGAAAGGATAATATTTTGGATGTGCTGGGTCAGAGAGGAGCCCCGGTGGTGTAGGGGTTACGTGTTGGCCTGCGATCCGCACAGTTGGCAGTTTGAAACCACCTACATACAGCGCCACAGGAGAAAGGCAGGGCTTTCTGCTCCCACCAACAGTTACTGTCTCAGAAACCCACGGGGCGGTCGCTACGAGTCGGCGCACACTCGCTGGCAGGGAGTTTGGTTTGGGGGCTATAGAATGCTGCTGAGGTTTCCTAAGTCCGCCGTTTCCCTTGTCGACCCTTGTTTAACGTGAGGATCAAAAAGGGAAAACCAGACTGTTGAGTCTGGGCAGAATCGTAGTGACCAGACTGCAACAGGTGAAACCCGCCCACAGGGCTGTTGTCTCTTATTTGTTTCACAGACAATACTGGGAGTTTATCAGGGAAGCAAACAAGCTCCCAAAAGTCAGCTTCCTAAAGCTCCAGCTGCAAAGACTCCCTGTGGTCCTCAGCCTCTAAGCCGGGGGTCCCGTGGCCTCTGCCGCTGTGGACCAGGACGCCTGCCTGCTGTGCTCTCACCGGCTGCCTCTCCTGGGGCTACCACCCTGCTCTGGCCCACAGTCTCCTTGGCACAGGCTCTGCGAAGCCTGTCATCTTGATGGGAGCAGGCAGCTTCGTCTTTCTCCCTCGGAGGGAGCGGTTGGTAGGTTTGAACCCCCTTCCTTTTGGTGAGCAGCCGAGCGCTTCACCACGGCATCACCAGGGCTCCCTGTGGATGCTTGATGAGTTTGAACTGCTCGTGTGACGCTCATTCTGTCTCTGTGGGGCCCTGCTGCTCTGGACCCCCAAACTCCAAAGCCACACTCACTGCCTTCGAGCTGACTCTGACTCTCAGTGCCCCTGTAGGACAGGATGGAACTGCCCCTGTGGGTTTCTGAGACGGTCACTCTTGATGGGAGCAGAGAGCCTCATCTTTCTCCCTGTGGAGTGGCAGGTGGTTTCGAACCACTGACCTTGCGGTTGGTTAGCAGCCCAATACCTAATCACACAGGCTCCTCTGGACCCTGGTTCTCCCCAAATAAGGACACACCTCAGTCTTCCGGCCTCCAGCTGTGGGCTGTGGTGTGCTTGGTGAGCGTGGGAAGTGTGCTGGGGACAGAGACCGAGCGGCCAGAGGTGGCCAGGTTTTGCATCGACACGGTGTCATTGTTACCGTCCTCTGTGGGTTTGGCTTCCCCTTGCTGGCTGCTTCCTGTCTCAGACTTCATGCCCCCACAGGGCGGCTCTGTCCACAGAGCTTGTTTGTTCTCTTTCTGACTCGCTGGAAAAACACACAGGCCTGCTCCCCAAAGTGCTGGTGTCCCCTTGAAGCCAAGGACACTCGCTGGGTTGAGGCTGGAAGGCTTGGCAGTGGGCAGGGGGGTTGCTCTGAGCTGGCATTCAGGCCAATTGGGAAGGGGTCGTCCACCTGGGGTCCTGCAGGTACGATGCTGCATGTAGTGGAGTCCTGCCAGGAGGCCAGGGTTGGGGTGAGGTGAGGCATGGTGTGTGGCCTAGGCTGTGGGCCATCACCTCTCCTGCCCATGCTTCTGGCCTTGAAGGAAGAGCAGCTGATTTGGCGAGGGGAGGGCAAAGGTAGATGTGGTATCTGCTCCACCAGGAGGCCCCGAACATCAGCCCCACCACAGTCTGTCTCTCCATGTGCACACAAGGCCTTCGGTGTCTGGGAGGTGAGGGCAAGTTACCCCGAGACCTAGTCTGGATGGTTCTGGGGTCCCCACTGGGCACAGGACAGGAGAGAGCGGGTGGACTGCAGGATGACACACAGGTGTTGAGACATGTCCACAGGCAGGATGAGCACAGAGCAGAGAAGGACACACAGGTGGTGAGACATGTCCACAGGCCAGGGGGGCAGTGAGTCAGGAGGGAGAGCGGGGATGGCGGTGGAGGTTGGGTGTGAGGGAGGAGGAGGGTGAGCAGGGACAGGGCTGAAGCCCCACTGTCTGCTGTCAGGTTCATTTCCCAGGGAGGCTGGAACACAGAACCAAGAATCGGGCAGCTCCAAACCACAGACATGTCCTGCCTCACCATGCTGGATGTCACAAGCCCAGAGTCCAGGTGTCCAAGGGCCTGTCCTCTCAGGAGTTTCCTGGAAAGAGCCTTTCCCATCTCCTCTGGCTCCTGTGGGTCCTGTGCTCCGTGGCCTGTAGCTGCCTCCCTGTACTCCATGCCTCCATCATCACGGCCTTTCCTCAGTGCCCCTCTCCTCCTCTGTGAGGGGCGCCAGTCAGGCTGGGTCGGGAGCCTCCCTCCTGCAGGGCACTCCACAACCAAACTCGACTCCCATTCCCCAATCGCATTCAACAAGACCCGATGTCTAAGCAAGGCTGCGCGCTATCGCCGTTGTCCAAGACCCTTGTGAGATAGAACGTGCAACCGTTTCTTTCTAACCTGCTGTCCGCGTGTCTCCAGAACACCCTTCGTACCCCGAAGGTTGCTTTTCCTTCCGACATGAGCTATACCTTCCTTTCTTTTTAAGATAATCGTGAGATGATTCGAGTGTGTGTATCGTTGCGTCCCATTCCCCTGCGGTCCTGTTTTGCCCCTCACTCTGGCTCTCGCTTGATCTCTCCTCTCTAGATCTGCTTCAGATCCCTTTCGGTCTTATCAAAGGCATTTCTTCGTCACCTGAATCGCCTCGTAGCTAACTTGCGCAAACACCCTGGGTTCCCCCTTCTGTTGATCCTCCTCTCTAGCTGTCACCCTGGGCTTCCTTCTGTGGGCATCTAAGATGTTGACTTTCTCCTCCCAGGGCCCACGGCCTACTCCCCCCCCCCCACCCACCCCCTCGCAGCCTTGAGAAACGAGGTCACTTCACTCTCACTTCTCTTTCTTCCGTCGCGCACACCTGGCGGGTCCTCTCCCATCTGCACCGAGCACAGACCTACAGACTGAGCAGCGCAGTATCAGCAACTGGAAAGAGAGCGGGGGGAAGGACCTTTGTCCCTTCTGGACAAGTGGTGCAGTCTCTCCAAGCCCAGCCCCTGGGCCTGATCTGTTTAACCGAACAATAAGGAAAGGGAAACTCAGAAAAAGTAAATGAGATACTGCATGCGAGGCAGTGCCTAGCACGCATTAGCTGCTTGGTAAATGTTGGTCCCCACTCCTCCCTTTCGGTGATGATTACTGTAATTGACCGGCTGGCTTATCGTAACACCGTGAGAGGTGGCCTCCGGGGTTTCTCCTGGTTGAGTCATCCTTTCGGTGGTAGATGGTGCTCTCAGACGAGCCTTGGTGGGGCAGTGGTTATGTGCGGGGCTGCTAGCCACAAGGTCATCAGTTTGAAACCACCAGCCCCTCCAAGGGAGAAAGACGAGGCTGTCCACTCCAAGAAAGAGTCACAGCCTTAGAAACCCACAGGGCAGTTCTCCCTGTCCCGCAGAGTGGCCAGGAGTCAGAGGAACCCACACGAGGGTCGTGGGTTTGGGGTACTTCTAAGATCACCGGTTCTAGACTCAGAGGGGCCCCTTCCAGGATGATAGCCTTAAACTTTTGTTTTCTCATCTTTCAGATGGAAATACTATCGATCCGTTTACGAGATGCTTTTTTCTCTTCTTGACTCTTTTACTAACTAAGCTAGAGTATTGCTCTCTCGTAAGAAGACTTCAGGAGGGTTACCTTTGGCGTCATATTGAAAGATGATATCCAAATCACTCACTCACTCACTCACTCACTCACTCACTCAATCCATCAAAAGGAGAAGGAGAAAAGAAGATGATCTCTGAGCAATAGATTCACTGGTGATTGTTCACTTCTGCCAAGACCAGGTGTTGGCCAGGCCCCACCCCCCTGCAGACCCCCCTCCCCGCCTCTGTCCTCTAACCCACTGTTCTCACTGTTCTCACAGAACTTTGCCAAGGAGTTTGTCATCAGCGACCGCAAGGAGCTGGAGGAAGACTTCATCAAGAACGAGCTGAAGAAGGCGGGGGGCGCCAATTACGATGCTCAGACAGAATAACCCCTGCCCGCCCCGCCCCTGGCCAGAGTCACCTGCCTGCTCCCCCGGGGGAGGGACCCCGGCCCTGCGACCAGCCCACCAGCTCCCCAGGGAGAAGAGGAGCGATGAGAGGCGCCGCCACCCACCCCTGCGTCTGCAGCCCGGTCCCTTTCCCTGCCTCCCTCCCCACCCTGTTAGCTGTCTCTCCTGATGCTCATGGGCCGTCTTTCTTTAACTTCCTCCTCGCCCCGTTCTTTTCTGTTCTAAGGAAAAAATCGTTCTGATACTCAGTTCGTGCACATCATCAGGTTTTAGGTCCCTCCTGTAGTGATTGATCCCTTTCCTTGACATCCTTGCCTGGCCTGATCCAGCGTGACCCCAGGTTGCTAATGGAACCTGGGCTGCTATCTTGGTCTTCCGGAAAGCCCTCCTGTTTCCTCATGAGGAGGCAGCTGCCCCGGAGCAGTTGGTCCGCTTCAGCCTTCACAGAACACACTCCGAGCCTGGCGCGCACCTCCTAGAATGTGTTTCAGGGTCCCTCGCCGCTGGGCCGCCATCTTTGTTTTCTGGAACGTTCTCCTGTCTATTCAGAAGCTGGTCCACTTCAGCCTTCATCAGAACACGCACATATCCTGGCTCGGACCGCCTAGAATGTGTCCCGGGGCCCCTCACCCCCATCCCTATCAGAGTGGCCCAAGTGACATGTCCAACTGAGATGGGGACAGTCTAGGTCTGGCTCAGACCAAATCAGAGGAAAGAAAATTTGCCTTAATCCTTGGCTGGGCAGGCAGGGGCTTTGCCAGGTGGTCTGGCCCCGCCTCTCCTGATTGAGATCTCATGTGGCAGGAAGGTGGGGGTGGAGGTCTGGGGCCCTCCATCAGACAGGAAGAGGTGAACTTCAAGCTTAACTCTGTTTCCCAACAGTGGGAACAGAAGCTCAGGTGGGGAATGGGAATTGATGAGCAACTGGGAACCGAGCTTTACCCCCAGCGGGGACCCTCTGTAGAGGCGGGGACCCCCGGCCCCTGGGTCTCACCTGTTCTTCGGCGGAGTCTAGAGCGGAAGCCCCCGCTGCTGCCCTGTCATCATCTGCTGCTCACACTCAGAGGGTTAGTTTTTTTTTGCTTTTAAAGAAGAAAGAAAGATGAGACTGGCTTGGTTCTTCATGAGCATATTTCATTCACCCCTTCTTTTTCTTTTTCCCTTGGCTCATTCCACCCGGGCACGGACGTCTGTACTGTATTGGGGTGTGAAGAGCACCCACGTGCAAACAGTTTACAGAAATAAATGTGGTTGTTTTTGTTTTGTTTTTCAAAAAGCAGTTTGATTCTCTGGGTTGTCTCATAAAGCTACGTCTCCACCTTCTTTTATTGGAAAAAAAAACCAAGGGTGGGGCCGAGCCCAGGGCTGGTGGGTGGGGTGGGGTGGGTAAGCTCAGGGTCAGTCCCCTGGGGACTTCTTAAGATCGATGGGTGCTGTTCCCCTTCCCGGTTGATGGAAACGGAGCTCAGAGGAACTATGCAATTTGCCTGTGGTCCCCCAGCAAGGAAGAGCAAGGATAGCCCCCCCTCCTGCTATCAACTCTCAGCCACGTGACGGGCAGGCTTAGCAAATGAACCCTAACTGAGAACCAGGCTCCTTCCATCGGCCACAGGAGACCCCGAGGGCTGCATGGCCCCAACCCAGCTCAGGGAGCAGGAGGAGGCAGGGAAGAAGGCACAGGGAGCAGGGGCAACCCCAGGGGCGCTGAGAGGAACGGAGCTGGAAGCCCAGGGGACACCGCAGAGTGCTGCTGACACTGAGGGGGACAGAATGGTCTGGGAGGTTGAATGGAAAGCCCATCTGCTCTGTAAGCTCTCACAATCACAACAAAGCTGCCCACGAAACAAAACCCCCATGGCAGCCCGCCCCACAGGCCCATTTCCCCAGAGCTCGCTGCACAAGCACTCCTTGTAAAGAGTTTGGGAAAGACGAAATCCGAAAGAGGAACATGAAAGTCACCTCTAGTCACACACACTCGCACACTCATGCACGCACACCAGTGCATACGCACACGCATGCATGCAGGCATACACACGGACTCCTGCACACAGGCAGATGCAGGCTCAGCTGTGACCATGCTGCCATCAGCAACCACCCCCCACCCCCACCCCATCCCTAGCCGTGACTGGGTTTCTAATGCCCACTCCTCTGCTCACCAGCTGTGTGGCCTTAGAGACGTTACTCAACCTCTCTTGAGCTCCAGTCTCCTCGCCTGCTCTTACCTCCCGTGGGGGACGAAACTGTGCCCCCTCCCCCACAAGAAAATCAGGTGGCCCAGTGCTTCAGCACCCACCAGCCGCTCCACAGGAGAAAGATGAGGCTATGTGTCGGTGTAAAGATGTACCATCTCAGAAGCCCCAGGGGACAGTTAGGCCTGGCCCTCGGGGTCACTAGGAGACAGGGTTCACTCCACGGCAGTGAGGGAGCAGGCATCTCATGCTCCTAAGAGCCTCTGGCTGGTTTGAACTTGAGTTAGCTCAGCCCAGCACTAGGTGCCCCTCCAGCAGCCCCCAGCCCAGATTCCAAGACTGAGGACTAGGAGTAGTGGGCGAGAAGGCCTTTGCCTCTAGGGGCAGGGGCGATAACTACCCTGCGCTCAAGCTCCCAGGGCAGCCTGCAGTGGGCTTGGGGTGGCACCGACAGAGGCCGTAATTACAGGCTGTCCTCGCAGCTCCAGGGGCGCTGAGTTGCTGCTGGGGGTGGAGGGGGCATGGCTTTTGTTTCCCAACTCCGCCCAGCCCTCCTGCAGTGGCGCCTGCACCCAGGGCTCTCCGGAGGCAGAGAGGCGGGCAGACTGCAGCCCCCAGTCCAGCGTGGGCTGGCCTCGCTGTGGCTGTGCGGGCGTTTTCTGTTCCCCATTTCTTTGTGAACCGCAGAGAAGACAAGACAGCACAGAGGCCAGCTCCCACGCGGACCCTGCAGACTTAGAACCTGGAGGCCGCCCCGCAGTGGGTGGAGTTGGCTCTCAGCTGGACCTCAGGTGGCCCAGGAGTGACCTTCCACTGCAGCTCATCTGACTTGCGTGGGCTACATACATATCTACCCTGGGGACATCAGCAGGAGAGGGACCACCGGGGTGCTAATTCCCGGTCCCCCAATTGCTCCCCTCTCTGTATTCCAGGAACGGGTCTCTTCCAACCTGGGGTCTTAGTGGCCCCACTCTGCTGTGGCCAATCCCAGGTCACTCTGGGACACCAATGAACCTGGTCCCCACTCACACCTTTCTCTGTCCACCAAGCCAGAGTAGAACTGTGGTCCGTGGGATTGACTTCACTTTAAACTTGATGGAATCCAGTCACCAGGCCTTTCTTCCGTGGCACCAATCAACTTCTAGTCCAACTCAAAACCACCCAAACTCCCTACCACCACCTCGATTCCGATTCAGCCACCCTGTAGGACAGGGTAGAACTGCCCCCTGTAAACTCTTTATGACAGTAGAAAGCCTTATCTTTCTCCTGTGCAGCAGTTGGTGAGTTCAAACTGCTGACCTTGTGGTTAGCATCCCAATGTGAAACCACTACTCTATTAGAATGCACGCTGTTGGCACCACCCATGGCTTGCTTTATGGACAATCCCCCACAAAGTGCTCCTCCACCCTGTGTGCGGAGCCAAAGATGCGGGTAAGTCACAGTACTGCTGTGAGGTTTCCAGTTCATATGTGCACGGGTGTATCGCACACAAACCACATTTAAACATGTGTCTCTGTGGCCAGTGGGTGTCTGTAGACAAGTTGCTCAGTCATGCCCTGGTCTTTGGCTCCTTCCCTCACCAAACTCACTGCATGGTGTCAATTCCTACTCACAGCAACCCTGTGGGACAGGATACAAAATGCCCCTGTGAGTCTCCGAGACTATAACTCTTTACAGGAGTTAGAAGCCCTCATCTTTTCCCCACAGAGGAGCTGATGGATTTGAACTGCTGACCTTGGAGCTCACAGCCCATAAAGCAGTGGTTCTCAACCTGGGGGTCAAATGACCCTTTCACAGGGGTTGCCTGATTCATAACAGTAGCAAAATGACAGTGATGAAGTAGCAACAAATGATTTTATGGTGGGGGGGGGTCACCACCACATGAGGAACCGTATGAAAGGGTTGCAGCATTGGAAGTTGAGAACCACTGCTCTAGGGTAACCACTACACCACCAGGTGTAACCACTGCACCACCAGGTGTAACCACTGCACCACCAGGTGTAAGCACTACACCACCAGGTGTAACCACTGCACCAGGGCTCCTGATCAGAAAGGGTCATCTCGATGGCAACACTGCCTTCGAATCAGTACACTGGACATGTACTGACAGGCCCAGATGGAGCGGATACTGACAGGGAATGTTTCACATGTGATTTTATAGCCACGCTCTTTGACCTTTGTGTTTCCTTTGTGGTGGGACTTTTTAGGACCTGCATAAGAACTCTTACAAAGACCCCTGGTGGTGTGGTGGTTATGTGTTGGGCTACTAGCCTCAAGGGCAGCAGTTCAAAACCACCAGCCCTTCCTCGGGCAAAAGTAGAGTACCAGAAAGATGTTTGTTTACTTGTGTTTTATTGACTCTGCCAAGGCATTGGACTGAGTGGCTCCCCCCAGTGGATGGCCTTGGGAGGAGTGAGAATTCCGGAGCACTTCACCGTGCTCATGCAGAACCAGCACACAGACCAAGAGGCAGTCATTGGAAGAGGACAAGTAGCCACTGTGTGTGTGGCTCACAATCAGGAAGCGTGTACGGCAGGGTGGTGTCCTCTCATCGTGCACCATCCAATCCATATGCCGAGCAAAGCCTCAGAGAAGCTGGTCACTTAACGAAGATGGAGGAGTTGGAGGAAGGCTGGATGGGGTTGGAGGAAGGCTGGATGGCCCGTGATGTGCAGATGACACAACTTTTCCTGCTGAGAGTGAGGAGCATTTGAAGCACTTGCTGATGAAGATCGAGGACTGCAGCCGTCAGTGTGGATGACGACTTAGGGTCAAGAAACCCCAAACCCTCACAACTGGACCGATGGACAATATCATGGTCAACAAAGAAAAGGTTGACATTGTCAGGGTCCTCATTGGACTCAGCTCCATCAACAGTGCTCATGGAAGCGACCATCAAGAGAGCAAAAGAGAATCAGCTGCAGAAGGCTTCTTCACGGTATTGGAGCGCAAGGGAGTCACGTGGAGGACTTGGGTGCCCCTGACCCAGGCCATGGTATTTTCGGTCACCTCGTTTGCATGTCAAAGTTGGATGTTGAATAAGGAAGACCAGAGAAGAACCAGTGAATCTGAACGCGGCGCTGTTGAAGGATATTGCAAGTATCATAGACTGCCAAGAACTGATATATCACTCACGGTAGAAGTACAGCCAGAACGCGCCTTAGAGGCAAGGATGGCGAGACGTCATCTCACGTAGTTTGGACGCGTGGTCAGGAGAGACCCGTCCTTGGAAAAGGACATTGTGCTTGGTAAAGTAGGTCAGCAGAAAAGAGCAAAGGCCTCAATGAGATGGACGGACCCAGGGACTACCATCCTGGTTCCAACACAGGAACCATTGTGAAGATGCTGCAGGACCCGGTAGTGTTTGGTTCTGCTGTGCGCAGGAGCGCTGAGTCGGGACCTCACAACAACAACAACATGTTTCAGTAATGCAGGACTAGTAGCGCTTCCTTTTGTTGTACGTAAGGTCTCTGTGGCTCTGAGTCACCATCGTAAGTACCAGACTCACTATTCTGACAGGGACTGGGAGGCCTTCTAGACTGTGGGCTCTTAGACTCCCTTCAAATATGCAACTGGGCCCACCTGACAGGGGTCACCTTGCAGGCAAACAACAGACAGGCCTAGGAAGTGAATAGTATACTGCATATACTCGTTATAAGCGGAGTTTTTCAGCACACCTTTAATGCAGTTTTTGTGGTAAAATTAGGTCCCTCAGCTGATATTCAGGTCAGCTTATACTTGAGTATATATGGTACCAGGATACATGCATGTAACAATATACCAGTATGTATCCCTATATAACACTATAACAGTATGTATCTGTATATAACACTATG